CAAACTGCAGAACTGCAGTCAGCTGAAGTAGCCTGCAGTGCTGCATTTAACCACTGCGCCACCTCGGCTCTCTCAAGCAGGATATCCTATACCATTTCAGACAGATAATTGTCCAATCTCTTCTTGAAAACCTTCAGTGATGGAGCACCCACAACTTCTGAAGGCAATCTATTCCACTGGTGAATTGTTGTCATTGTCATGAAATTCTTCCTCAGTTCTAAGTTTCTTCTCTCCTTGATTAGTTTCCACCCATTGCTTCTTGTTCTGCCCTCAGGTGCTTTGGAGAATAGCTTGACTCCCTCTTCTTTGTGGCAACCCCTGAGATATTGGAAGGCTGCTATCATGTCTCCCCTAGTCTTTCTTTTCATTAAGCTAGATATCCCCAATCAATAGATTTGATTGAACAGAGTCTCCTCCAGTCTGTCTACTTTTTGGCATGTTAAAATCCAGAGTTTGGTGCCAACACGGTCCTTGGTTATAATGACTGGCAACGGACAAGGTGTTTGCAAGTGGTGAGATTAAAATTGTCTACGGGGGGAGGGCGATATAAATGGAATTAATAAATTAATAAGCACTCAAGAAATAAAACGCAACCAAATCCAAAGGGCAGATTAGAACCAAGAAAAAGAATGAAACTGACATGTCCATTACATCAGAAAATAATCTGGCATAAAAAGCCAATTTAGAAAGGGCTGAACAAACAAATGCAGCCAGCGCAAAATTGAAACATTCCATTTCTCCCGGCCTGAAAATTTTGAAGTTATATATGGGGCTCCTGACACTAATAGCTATTGACAGGCCATTTCCTTTATGAATTTGTTTCATCTGCTTTTAAAGCTATTAAAGTCAGCCATTATTCCTTCTTTTTTGGAAGCAAATACTGTAATTCACGTACAGGCTGGGTGATAAAGTAGCTCCTTTTGTCTTTCCCCAATCAACAACCATTTAGCAACATTGGGTGACCCACGATGTGTCTATTATGACAAAAGAATAATAAAAAGAAGCCTTCATCTATTCCCCCCCCCCACCCCAGATGGGATGCATAAATTTATACCTTTATATCAAGCTGCCTCTTTAGATGCATTGTTTTTTCCCCCCTCTCAGCTTAAAAGCACCACTGGTTATAACCCTGGGGAATTGTTCCAAATTATTCCTCATTTTGATGGTCCTTTTATGCATCTCTTAACGCAGTGGTTCCCAAACTTGACAACTTTAAGACTTGGCAACTTTAAGCTCTGCTGGCTGGAGAATTCTGGGAGTTGAAGTCCACAAGTCTTAAAGTTGCCAAGTTTGGGAACCACTGTCTTAACGCATCTTCTCCAACTCTGGTTAAGATTGGTGCAGAGTTCTTAGCGTGTAACACGCGGTAATCCACAAGCTGAAAAACTCTCTATTTGGCAGTTTTGCACCAATGTATATTCAATACGTGTGAAGTTAGCTACATGAGGGAGAACTCATTGACCAATTGATTGTATCCCACCAAGTTCCTGTTGACGTTTAGAGGCAATGGGGATAGATTTTATCCAGATCTATTTCTATCGATTTTACCCAGATACGGCCTAGCTTTTCAGCTCTTCCAAAAGTTGAGAAGGATACATTTGCAGAATTGATTCCTGTTATCGCAACTAGGAGATAAATGAATCTATGGAGATCCTCAGCCAGGGTTGTCCCGAAGGTGCTTTTTTTCAAGAGGCAACTGGAATTTCTTGGCTTTCTTCGTAGATGTTTTGCTTCTCATCCAAGAAGATTCTTCAGCTCTGACTGAACGGTGGA